GCCTTTGACCCTCTCTGGTTCCTTCGGTGTCATCATCCCTTCTTCGTGGAGGGTCATTTTTGTTAGATTGTCGTTGCTCATTGCTTTCCAGAGGGCGGTTCAACTTGTAGTGGCATTCTTTGAGGGACGTCTCCCCCTGGCCTGGTTTTGATTTTGGGAATGCCTTACGACGTACCAGTAGTTTTCGGTACGGTGACCATAGGATTGGTGGTAGGAGCAGTAGTTGGAGGCTTCATCTATATTTCTAGGTTCAACATCTCGTCCCCTACCTCGACCTTTCAGTGGAGATTTTTGATAAGGCTGACACTGCTGTATTTCAGCACCAGCATTCACCTCTTCATAGGCTAAGGTCGGCATGGCATTGAGCTCTGCTACGACGAGCTCCTGTCCTGGTTCAACGGGGCCTGATGATCCATTAAATGGGAAGTTTTCCTCTTTGCATCTGAGGAGGGGGTAGGCTTCGGCTTGCCCTATTTCTATGATCCTTCAACTCTTCATTCAGGATTTCTCGACTTATCATTTCTAATAGGGCGTCATAGGTTGCCTGGTCTTTGTTAAGGAAGGGAACTCATCTACTCATCATATCTATCATTCCACATATTTCATTATCATTTTGTTGAATAGGATCTGGGTAAGTTTCCAACTCCTCCATCGGAGCCGTTTAAGGTTCACAATCAATAATGGGAGGATCCAATTTCTCCAAATTGATTGCTTCGGCTACTATTCCCTTTTCAGGAGCTTCAGTCATGAGGACGTCTTCCCCTTGTTCAGGGGCTATCCCTTGTTCAGGGAGGTCGTCCATATCAACGTCAGTAAAGACGACGTTGGTGGTCCTCGATTCTACTTTCCTTAAAGAGTTGGAATAGCATTCTCTAGAGCTTCGTTGGTCACCTCGAACTGTTGCCACACCACTATCCGTAGGGAATTTTATGCATAGGTGGTGAATCGAGGTTACCGCCTATAATTCTTTTAACGCGGGTCTTCTAAGCACCCCGTGGTAAACAGATCGGTTGTCGACTATGAGAAATTCCATGAAGCGTCAAGCAACCAGATGTTCAGTTCCCATTTATATTGCCAAGGTGATTTTTCCCCTAGGGATGATGCTATCTCCCGTAAATCCGAATAGAGGAGAGTTCACTGGGGACGGCTCATGATCGATTATCAAAGGTGGTACCAAATATGATATTGACTGAACTTTCGTTGTCCACTAACATCCTTTTCAGGCTATTGCAAGCGATAACAGCCCTAACTACTAGGGCATCACAGTGGGGGTGGTGCACCCCTAGTGCATCTTTCTGTGTAAAAATGATTAGAGGCGAAGTTCCTCCACTCGTAGGTTGATTCACGATATAGCTTGTCATAGCTGGGTCGATTGCCTCTCTGGCATAATTCTTTTGAGAGTTTCTGGACTCTTTGCCTACGTAAGGACCACCAATGATTGTGTCGATTTCATGAATGGGTTCATATTCATTGCTTGGTAGGGGACCTCGTCGCTGCCTTTGACCCTCTCTGGTTCCTTCGGTGTCGTCATCCCTTCTTCGTGGAGGGTCATTTTTGTTAGATTGTCATTGCTCATTGCTTTCCGGAGGGCTGTTCAGCTTGTAGTGGCATTCTTTGAGGGACGTCTCCCCCTGGCCTAGTTTTGATTTTGGGAATGCCTTGCGATGTACCAGTAGTTTTCGGTACAGTGACCATAGGATTGGTGGTAGGAGCAGTAGTTGGAGGCTTCATCTATATTTCTAGGTTCAACATTTAGTCCCCTACCTCGACCTTTCAGTGGAGATTTTTGATAAGGCTGACACTGCTGTGTTTCAGCACCAGCATTCACCTCTTCATAGGCTAAGGTCGGCATGGCATTGAGCGCTGCTACGGCGAGCTCCTGTCCGTGGTTCAACGGGGCCTGATGATCCATTAAATGGGAAGTTCTCCTCTTTGCATCTGAGGAGGGGGTAGGCCTCGGCTTGCCCTATTTCTATGATCCTTCAACTCTTCATTCAGGATTTCTCGACTTATCATTTCTAGTAGGGCGTCATAGGTTGCCTGGTCTTTGTTAAGGAAGGGAACTCATCTACTCATCATATCTATCATTCCACATATTTCATTATCATTTTGTTGAATAGGAGATCATTGATAGCGTGATAATCCTGAAATATATCGTCGGAACCTTAACATCTTTGTCTCTCGTCGAAAAGTGCATCCCACGTTCACTGCAGTTGGATTATCGTGCTTATTCAAGTAAAAACGTGCTGGATCCGTACTTGACGTTGTGAGAGTGGGCCCGACATTTGTTGAGTTCATTTTTTTGGGTAAACAAATTGGCGCCATCTATGGGCAATACCTACATTTAACCACGAATACACGTGGGAAGAAAGGCCAGGTTACATTACTGAAAAGATCGACGGAAGGAAGTGCTTGTCCTTGAAAAAGGAGCATCCTTACAGCAAGAACGACAAAGAACTTAAAAACTCTTGAAGAAAGGGATAAAAAGTTGCTTACTAAAATAATCAAGAGATGAGTTCCACGGACTAGAATGCCCCTAAACGAACGAGGGAACACCCTAAAGAAGTGAAACCCTCACATGCTACTCAGGCAGTCCGCCCAAGACCTCTCCAATACACAGGAGATGAGGTTCTAGGGGCAGAGGAGGAGTAGTAGCCAGGCTGACTAGGGAAATGGCTACCAACATGAAAAATATCACTCAGCAGAACCTAGCCATGCAAGAAATATTAATGAGCATGCAGGGACAAGAAGGCTATCAGACCCACCAATATACAGCCCCGGAAGATGTCTTTCCTGAAGCGTAAGGGTACTATCAGGAGGAAGAAGTACAAAGTCGAATGGCCGAACCTCCGTACACTGGGATGGAGGTCCCTCAAAAGAGAGATGTCGGAATGGACGCCTCGGTAAACAGCGCCTCCGAGAGATCATATGAGGTCCCATTCAACCACCCTCCAAACTATGAAAATCGACCCCAGATGTCCAGAAGTGTTTTCGACCGGATAAGCTCAGGGGTGCCTAGAGATAGGCAGGACCATTCACCCCAAGCACCTAGAAATATGCATTCTTAATCTCCACCGCCTCCGACTAAAGAGAGGCAGCAAGAGCCTCACCACCCTTAGGATCTGTCGACGTACCACGAAGAGCCTCCAAATCTGAAAAAGCCTTGAATCCGACCCCCTAGAAATTGGTGGGAAAGGAGAAACCAAGCTAGAAATGAGGCAGGAACCTCTCAACCACTTCCCCAGGCACCCCAAAAAGATGATGGATATTCACATGGTCCTCAAAGCTCCTGTGATTTGGATGATGACGATGACCAATCTCCCTTCTCAGAAGCTATAAGGAGTGCCCCCATGTTGAATCACTTTTCACTCCCTAAAATCCCCAAGTATGATGGGAGAGGTGACCCCGCAAAACACATGAACAACTACAAAACCCATATAAATTTGAAAGGGGCTACTCCAGCAATGAAGTACAGGGCCTTTCACTTAACGTTAAGTGGTGGTGATGAAATCTGGTACACGAGATTACTTGAATGGGATATCCGAAGTTGGCCAGACATGAAGAAGACGTTCCTAAAACGCTTCGTGACTAGTAAAGAAGGGGATAGACCTATCTAACGACTTCAGGACATGCGACAGCAACGGGACAAGGCGCTGAAAAGTTTCTTGTCTCGATTTATGGATGAAATGACCTACTGCGTGCAAGTCACAGATAGGAAAGCATTAACTGCCTTAAGATGGGATTGGTTATGAACTCCCTCTTTTGGAGAGATGTGTGTTTGTATGAGTATGTGTTTGTATATTCTTTGCATTAATCCACCGTCCCCCTTTTCTATACAAAGAGTGGCTATTTATAATGTTTTAGCCGACGTGATGATCGTCAGATCAAGTCCACATGGCGACATCCCTTAATCCGAAGCTTCACATCACTGTCCATTCCTTACATTTAATGTTTTGACTAAGGGTCAGCCGTTCTAGTGATAGGCTGACGATGATTAAAATTATAGACACTTTGCTGTAGACGTCACATCAATCAATTCGGAAAGATCTTCGAATCTGGTGTCAAGCAGCGTCGATTTTATGAGCTTTAGACGAGCTTGAAAGATGACCTCGAAATCGGGGGATAACAGTTTTGTTTGTGGCTAATGGGTTGTAAATTGGCCCAAACAAATGAATAATAAGAAAGGGAAAAAAAATTCAACTGCTTTCTTCATTTCTTCCTGGCGGATGGCGTCGACAAGTAGGCGACTTGAAGCTCTAACGGATCCAGCAAGGGCGGCCGCGTGGTTGGCCAGGTGCTGGGTCCGCCCCTACCAGGGCGATTACCCATCTCCCCGTGTGGCTCCTCCCTTGTGTGTGGATCAATTTTTGTGTTGCATTTTAGCAGGTAGGATGGGCTTTAAGCCATGATACACCGACACTAGCACATGTGTCCAACATGTCGACATGCGATTTTTCAAAAAAAAGTATTAATATGACATGTCCGACATTTTGATTAAAATTTTTAAAATTCTTCATTTATATAATAAATTTAGTTTTATTCTTGTTATCAATTTTTTTTGTTGAAATCTTTTAAAAATGAGTACTTATTTGTTATTTAATAATAATTTTGAGATAAAAATATATAATATTTTTTATAAAAAAAATGAAAATAATTATAGTTGAGTGTTTGAAGAGTATCGATATTCGACACGTATCGAACTTGAACTCGTCGTCCTAACTGAAGTGTACGTGAAACACAGGCTTTAAGGATTTCTTTATTAATTAGACTAGAGTTGAGAGACTTGCAATTTTGTGGCTCCTCCACTTACTGTCCAATTGTGGAATGATAAGCAGAGTGACCCGGGAGGAATTGTTTTCCACCCATTTTCCTCTCTCTCCAATTTTTCCGTCCACCTAAAGACGGGAAAGATTTTCAGTCCTTCCCATGTTTCGTCATTTCATTTCCTTTCCTCCATTATTGGTTCCCAGTCTCCCACCAAGGAAAGGGTTAAGATTGCCATGAAAAGAGTCATAGATGGTAAGTGCAGAATGACCTTAATAAGAAAAACTACAGTTTTCTTTAAATCTTTAAGTACCTCTCTGATGTAATTTTTATAATTTTGGTTTTCTAACTATAGAATGCTCCAATTTTAAACCTTTGTAGTTGTAGCCATTGGACTTCTATTTCTTGGAAAGATCCTCAATTTGAAAAGAGATGATGGCTTCCAAATGAATGAAGTGATCGTGGCTCTATGGGACATCATGGGTTTATGGCCTTTAGTTTACAGTATGCTGCTTCTTCCAACTGGTAGAAGGTAACACCGAAGGCTACCTTGCCTCTATTTTCTCAGCATAGTCGGGTGCAGTAATGATATAATACAAAAGCTGTGATGAGAGCTTTGAAAAATGCATTTTCATTTTTCATCAGTCTACATTTTCAACATATCTCTATTAATTTTTCTAATCTTAGACGAGATGTCTTATTTTTTACAGCTCAAAGGGAAAAATTCCTGTTTGGCAATTTCTCATACTTTCATGATTTGGTGGCGCATATTCCCTATTTGTTATCTGGAGACCACTAGCTCCACCAATCGAAGAAACCAAGCTAAAAGGACTGCCTCTGAATTTTCTGGAATCAATATTAATTGCAGCGGTAAGGTGATCATTCTGTAGGTTGTGTTTTCATTGTACTTGATTGTGTATGTTTTTTCTTTATATGTTTGGAAAATGTAACTAACATATTACATGTCAGATTACAATGGCTGCAGGGCTAGCTATAGTCATGTATGCAGGTTTATTTGGTGTTGATGCGTGGAAGGAATATTTCTAGTATTTCAAAGGGAGCAAATTTGTGAGCGTTTCTATTCTACATGGGTGTTGTGAATATTAAATCAAAGAAGAAGATAGGAAGATAAGCTTACGGAGATTCTATGCATCTCAACTTTATCAATTTTAGTCTACTATCGGCTTTCACACCTTTCTGGGTCTACATGACTGCTCGAAAATGGTGAGATGCGAGTCACCAAGTTTTTCTTTATCCTTTGATGAATAGAATTTAACAAAGATGTAGTTAAGAGAATTTTTTTTGTTGCAGGGGAAGGAAAAGGCTATTGGCTTCTTCCCTTGTTAGTGATTCTATTTTTAGGGCCATCTCTCTATCTTCTCCTATGGTTTCGTTTTCAGCAGTTCCAGTTTCACCATGCCCAGCAGTATTGGATGACAAATGATGTATAGTCCTCTTGTTATGGTGCGCATCAGGAATCACATCTAAGCATACAAAGAAACAAATACGATACAATATGCACCTATGAAGAGGTCTGATCTAGTTGTTCAAGGGGAGAAAGAACGGAAAATGGATTGTCCAGAAGCTTGATGTGTAGCAAAGTACATGCTCCAGAAAAGGCATATCTGGTTCTACCCAAACACCATGTATATCCCCATACTGATAGAGATTTTATCATCTTAAAAATGGTAGTTCTTGTATTACATTATTTTTCACATGATTTGCACTCTTGGCCCCTCTTTGACAAATTTTTTTTTTTTGGAAATAATGAGTTTTTGAATAATAAATTTTTGGAGAATGTGTGGTTAGAAAGGAGGAAAAAGTTTTGTGTTTACTTGAATAATATTTCATTGTGAGAATGTGTAGGAAGAATTTTTTTTTTTTTTAAATAATGGTTGTAAAAAAGGTGGCCTTGAGAAGATGCTTTTCTGTATTTTCTAGTAGGGTTCACAGCCATAATAATTTTTGTACTACAATCCACACATGTATCATAATAGGATGGCTAGGCTAAGTTTTCACAGCCATAATCATTTTTGTTCTGCAAGAATGTAATCCATGCATGTATCATATAGGATGGCTAGACTAAATATCAGAGGCCTACATTTTTCCTTCAGTCGCGCTAGGTGTACAAAGCCCCTTGACAAAGTCTCTTGACAAAATGACGTGGCATTACTTTTTTAAAAAGAAAACCCAAAAACATTAGAAAAGCCAACACCGTTCTCTCTCTCTCTCCCCATTTTTCCCAAATCAGGGGCCAAACCCTTCCTCCCAAATTACAAACCTCCGGCAGCACCCGTATCGTCGGCGTCGTCCCCACCTCCGGCAGCCTGTCAACTCCTTCATTGTAAATTACTCTCAGATCCGCATAGATTTCAAACTTAACGATGTGTCAGAGACGGTAGAATACGTCATTTGATTATTTCGCACTGGATAAGTATTCTTGCTTTAATATTATTAAGAACCCTACCACCTCAAATCTTAGTTTAGGTTCTTTACCTTGTCACCAGTGATTGTGGTTTCTTTTTAAAACTTCAACTCAAACATGGCACGATATGCTTACCTCGGTTTATTTCCATGAAGACAGAATATGTAGTTAACGTTTTAGATTTTTGTCAGAATATATTTTTGATATTTTTTTTTGGTTTCAATATTAATGTTGGTTGTGTTCATTGACCCAATCTGTTTGTTTTGACGTTGCTGTAGTTGGAAACATTTGTTTCCTTAACAAATTTTGCTGTATCAAATCCACTGCTTGTGTCTAGTGATCCATTTTCATGTTTATTATTGTTTGTTGTGACGGTGCTGTAGTTTGAGACATTTGTTTCCTTAACAAATTTTGCTGTATCAAATCCACTGCTTGTGTCTAGAGATCCATTTTCATGTTTATTATAAGAGTAGTTTCCCTTGACAATATGCAAACAAAGTAAAATTCTTGCAATTTCGAAGAAAGAAAGAAGAAAAGAAGTCTGATTTTTTCAAGAAACTCACCCATTTTGCTTCATTCATCAGTTTTTTCTGCGAATTTATGGCGAGACACTATTGGTGCCAACTGCGTTACATGAATTTCATGTTTTAAAGTTAATTGTATGATTTATGGGAACTTCTGTTGATGCTTGACCCCAAAATTGGGAATGATTAAGATGTAGCATCCGAGAATGTCACATTTGTTTTTACGATTTACATTGAAGCTGGAGCTAGAAATTCATGACCATGTTTTCTCCTCTAGCATTTCACTTGGAAAGAGTCTCTTTGAGCATTTAAATTGGAATGTTTCAGGAACGCAGAATGAAGAAGTTGAAGACATGACGTGAATGTTCCAATCTCCAGTTCGGCTAAATAATGAAGAAGAGCTCTGTCACCGTGAATGTGACGGTTCGTCGAGAAAATTTACCATCCCAAGGGAAACTGAACGGGAAAAGCACGGCTTGATTAGTTGTTTACGTTGAAGTAGTCACGTTGAAGTAGTCACGTTGTAAATATAAATGTGGTCGATAGTTTAGTGTAGTCAATTGGTGCATTTTGGTTGAAGTAAAATTGTTTACTTCATGTACCTCGGAAGTTAGTGAAAGTATAATATGAGTAGTTAGTGACATTATAATATTAGGTGTGTTTGAGCCACATTATTTTGAAAAAAATGTATTTTGGAATAGTAGATTGATGGAAAATGTGTGGTTGAAAAAGAAAGAAAAGTTATTGACGTAATAAAAAATATTATTTTATTGAAGAATGTGTGGTTGAAAATGAGTAAAAGAATGAGAATGAAAAATTTAATGTCTACCAAACAGAGGCTACAACTTGTTATGTAATATGAGTTTGAATGGTCAGTGATGAATGAGAGGAAATATAATGCAATGTCCTTGCAGTCCATGCCCAATTAAAACCCCCCTTTTCTAATCGCCAATCAGTTGAAGAATGACAAAGAAATGCTACATTAATCAAACATAAGAAGATTGACAAAGACCGTAGCGCATGTTCAAACATAGTGCAGGAAAGGAAACGCCAGAGAATAAGGTAGCTCCTTGTGGATTCATAATAAAATTACAAAATTCGTGACATTAAGGGTTTGGATGAGGAGCTGAAATTTTGCCTGAAATTCCGCCAAAATGGAAGGAAAACACTGCGTGGAGGAGGAGCTCAGATTTGGGGGAAATGGTGCCGGAGAGGGGATGAGAGTGTTTTCAGCTACAAACGAAATGGATTTTGAGGAGAGGATGAGTAGGGAGGTGCGCCAAAGAGAGAGAGTGTTATCAGCTACATAACTTCAATTTTTTCCCTTCTCTCCTCCCATTATTTTGGCGCCCAATGCTATAAAAGAATCACAGCTGTCCAATTGAAATATATCTCGACCGTACACGTCATTTTGTGAAGTGGCTTTGTAAGGCAACTATGTACAAACAGCATTTTTGTTTTTCTTTAAAGCAAATATATTTAGCCCCTTTTTGGTTTAGCTAAACATCAGTTAAATAGATTTTGATAAAAATTGATAATGATTAATTATTGAAAATTTGTGGATTTCATGAAATATATTATTCAAAATAAGTTTGAAAAAAATTGACCATGTGGATTTCAAGTTGAGGACCATGTTCGCTAGATTCCCTAAGGGGGTGGGCATGGACAGGTATTTTGCGATCACCATTGTTGGTCCTGTCCCGAGTCCAGAAAGACGGTTGTGGTATGTCGAGAGTTACCAGTTCATACATTTAGAAGCAAACGTCACTGAAATCCAAAACTTGGATAAACATATCCAAAAAGTATACCATATCCTTAATATGAGCATTTTGAAACACGAAGAAAAACAGAAGCATGCTTGAGATAGATCAAAAGGACCAACTATTGGTCACTGATACAATATCTTTGTAATATCAACTAGAAATAGATATAACATTATTCTAGAAAATGATTTAAGCCTATGTTTGATTCCACTAAAAAAATTAATTAAAATTCATTTCAAGATCAACACTTCATTTTAATCATACATTACAAAGGATTTATAATTTTTCAACAATACATCCCATCAACTTTTATCAAAATCTGCCATAAATTCGATTTTTATCTAAACCAAATTGGGGCAAAATTGAAAATTTGATGATCATTTGAAAAGAAATCTTACAAGGCCACTATTTTAATTTTAATGCATTTTTCTTTCTTTCTTCTTCTCGACTACACATTTTTTAATAATAAACCCAAAACTTTTCATTCTTTTTAATTACGCATACTCTAAAAAATCACTATTTAAAAATATATTTTTTTCTAAATTTCACAAAGTCCATGTTTGATGGGCATTATTCTTAAAAAAAAAAAAGGGCTTGTTGTCTTTGTTGTTTTCATGTCATTTTCAGTTTTCAAAAATAGTGAAAACACGTTTACTTACCTATTTTCAGAAACAAATTTCCAAAAATAAGTTTAAAATTTATAAAGAAAACGGAAAATGCCAACAAAGTCGTTTTGGCTTTTTTGGTTAAAACCAAACCAAAACTTCATTTTTTATTTTTGAAAACAATTTTTCAAAATGACAAAAAGAACGTATTTTCAACAATTTCGAAATGGACACTCAAAATTCAAAATCGAAACACGAAGAGAACAACCCCTAAGGTTTTGAATAATGATTTATAGGCGAATGCGTGATTAAAAGCTTGGCAAAATTTTTGAGTTTACGTGCAAAATATTTTATTGTGTCAATGTATAGTTAAAAATGAGTATGTAGAAAAAAGAGTTTAAAAATAATAGTTCTCAAATTGGGGCTAAAATGGAGCCCAACAAAGGGCCAGAATTTATTACAACAAATATCATAGTACGTTGTGATTTATTTAGGTCCTGTTTGATTTAGCTAAAAAATTGATATTTAGTAAATTTTAATAGAAGTTGTTGAAATGTGTAATTCAAAAATAGATAAAAGTCATGGATCTCGTGAAATGTATAATTGAATATGAATTTATAAAAAAAATGAAAATTAAAATGACAGTTGATCTCAAGTCAAGCAGGCTTCTACCATTACGTTCAAGAGCAGAATCTTAGTTTGAGCCTACCTTCGCACACTTATGTTACTCTTTAGGAGGCATCCGCCTCAGATAAACTACCCACCTTGCAATGTCTCGCCTTCCCCATAATGGTTGGTGCGACGGTTATGTCAAACATGAGTTATATAAAGTTGATGAAAAGCCATCAATTTACTAAAATTTCAACAAAAATAAATCGTTTCCCTATTTATATCATTTCTCAATAAAAACTTGGTGAATAACAAATTTGTAGTTGATGAAAAACCATCATATTAATTTTAAGTTCAACAATTAGACTTTATACACCCAAACGTTTAGTCACAAGCATGACCAAAAACATTTTCTTGTAATAACATGGAAAATCGTCACATTTACAAGATTGAGTGCTTGTTTGGTAGGAATTTTTGGGGGAAGAATTGATTTTTGAATAGTGATATGATGAGAAATGTGCGGTTGAAAATGAAGAAAAAATTATTGATGTGATGGAAAATATTATTTTATTGAAAAATATATGATTAAAAATGAGAATAGAATCAATTCTCAAATAAAAAACAAATACCACCTGAATAGAACTCTAACAAATATACTTCCAATTATAATCAATAATTTTTTAAATATACACCATAATTACAACATTGAGTTAAAAATCAGAGTAGTCTCTGATGATTGTTACAAAGTTTTGACCTATAAAAATCAATCATGTTTGATCATATGAATGATGATGCAATATTAATATTAATTTTTTAAAAGAAAGTTCTAGAAAACTTCAAGTTTAAGAACTTGTTAACTTCCCTTATAAGTTAGCACATGTGTATATACAAGTTGGTGCATATTTCATTCTTTTTTTTCACTTTTCTTGCTGGGCATAAGGTCTTTCGACTGAAGGGTCCGAAAAGATCTTCTTATCTCACCTTTAACCTATCACGTCCGACACCCTAATTAATTTCTTGTCTTCAATTCTAAACCTTTATCTTGCTATCTCTTCGAAAGAAAGTCAACCTCTCGACACGATAAAGAATACAGAAGTAGAACGATCGATCCCACGTAAAATCACTATTCTTTGAAATGTATTTTTTAAATTCATTTTCAATCACATGTCTTATTAATAAAATAATTGTACATTTTTTTTTTCTATTTTTCAATCATACATTCTACAAGAAATTATTACTCACGGTAAAATTTAATTTTTCTTGCAAACCTGGTGAAGCATTTTACCTTTATTTTTGATCGAAACTGATTTTTTTTAATTATAAAACGATTTTACCCTGATATCTAAACAAGAAAAAAAACAAGTATAAAGATAAAGTTATTTATTGGGAATGGAACTCATGGCTACTTGGTGCGATGAGTTCTATTTTTCTTTTATTTTTTTTCTTTGTTATTCATTTTTATTTACTTGAATATAAGAATAAAACATATTTTTTTAACAAAAAATTGGGCTATTACTTAAGCACAAGGAAAAATATCAACTAGTGATCAAATATCACAAAAATGAAATAGGCTACCAAAATATTAGGACAAGGATCTAATTGATACATGTTTAATAGATTAGGGACTCCATCAATAATTATGGGTGTATTTGTCATCCTTTAAAAATTAAATTATTTGCTACAGTATCATTTCTTCGCCACACATTCACACAATAAAATATTTTACACACAAATCAATAAAATTTCTTTAAATTTTAACCACACATTCTCCAAAAAATACTATTTAAAACTCTATTCTTTCTCCCGAGACAAACAGTGGCTATATATCTAATACAATTTTTTTTTTCAACAAAACCCTCCTCCATAAGTCTTCCCCTTCTCTTTCTTTTCTCCCTTATAAAATACAACAATAATCAGAGTCTCCGCCCCGCCCCGCTCTCTCACTCTATACACAGAAATATATATACAATTGCATTGTTATACATATAAAAGTGGTATATATTTATATAGGGTTGTTTTGGAAGGTGGGCTTTGAAGAAGAAGAAGATGAGTAGTGGTGGTAAAGGTGCAGCAGGAAGAGCTTTGATGATTCCGAGCAGCGTGAAGGAAACGATCGAGAATATAAAGGAGATAACCGGCCAAAGTCACACTGATGAGGAGATTTACGCAATGCTCAAGGAATGCTCCATGGATCCCAACGAGACTACCCAGAAGCTCCTCCTACAAGGTACCCGCATGTGCTTTATGCGCACACGCACTCTATCTGTTGTGTGAATTAATGTTTTTTATATTGATTTCGCTTTGATCTGCGGTGTGATTGATAATAAGCTGTTTAATTTATCATTTTCTTTTATTTTTTTAATGGGTCAATAGCACAATTTTATATTTCACGCTGAAGAATTAGTTTATTTGGCCTTTTAGGAGAAAAAAATTTTGGTTGATGGGTTTAAATTTTAAATTGCTGATGAACTTCCGGCAAAGCTAAGCTTATTTATATGGTGGTTTTTTTTTTTTATCAAATGGTGGCCTTTGTTGTTTTTACATTTAAATGCAGCCGAATTTTTTTCTTCCCCCTCCTATTTATGTGCTGTTTATTATTTTATTTTTCTTGTAAAATCGGTATCTTCTATTCAAGATTGAGAGTATTGTGAATATCTGTTTCGATGGTTGCAAAGAAAATGTTGATTTTGTAGTTAGGTATATGTGTTTCTTGTGAATTGATTGCGCATCCACTAATTTCTGCACGAGACATATTTTCAGATCTTTTTGGAGTTTGTGAAATTTGTGAGGTTGTATTACAGTTCACTGAATTGCCGAGTAAAATCTAAGCTCTCGAGTGGGAAGACGAAGGTGGTCCCGCTTCTTTTTCTTCCTCCTTATATGGAACAATTGATGTTGGTTATGGATTTACCTTTTCCCGGTCAATCAGTAGAAGCTTCGGCTCAGGCTCAAAATGGTCCATTTAAATGTCCTATGAGCAAAGAAATTTGGACAACAATATGATCATTATAATCACCTCAATTCAAATTTGTTGTTTATACGCTGGCTTCATATTTAAATATGTTACATGTTAGCACATCACTAATTCTTTCTCTTAACTACAATTTATTATTTATGTGTTTGCTAGCTCATGTGTAGGTTTCCCTTTGTCCCTCTTCTCTCTGTGAGTTTCCGAAACAAGGTAACAAGTTTGTTTCCCTATGCTTCTGCAGATACGTTTCATGAAGTAAAAAGGAAGCGTGATAGGAGAAAAGAGGTATTGCTACATGTGATTTAATCTCATATATAGTGTAGCTTTACTCATAAATGCTCCTACATCGTTTAGTCCCTGTTTGGTTTAGATAAAAATTAGATTTTTAATAGATTTGGAAAAAAGTTGATGAAATGTGTGGTTGAAAAGTTGATAAAAGTTGTGAATACCATGAAATGTGTGGACAAAAATGATATTGGAGAAAAATGAGTTTTAAGAAATGGGAATCAAACAACGGTTAAGTTCACGATGACACGAAAGAGCTATGTGGCAGCATTCCTAGATTTAGGCACAAGAGTTGTTCCAAGTTGCAATTTTATGCGAAGTCAAGTGTTAAAGGGCAATTATATACATTCCTGTAGGAAACTTCTTGATCATAAAATGGTGAACACATTAGCAGTTTTAGGATGTGACTAACCTGCTTATATGTTTTAAAAATGGGATAATTTTACTTTTCATGGGGGCTGAGGAAGTCTTTTAATCTAGGTGTGGAATTACTGTATGGCTCTCTGAGTCCTCAAAGTACCCATGCCATGATAAGATATTTGCAGTCATCTTTTTATGGGCGGTTTATATGTCATACTCAAAGAAAGCAAGGACGATCTATAGGACCAAATTGTCAGACTATTGGCTAGTAAATGGTCCAAAAGTCCTAATTTGTTTTTGATGATTTTGAACATGTTGTGTAGACTAGGGACATGTTGCCATCACACCAGGAACACCATACTATGTAGACGCAATTTTTGAAAGGTGAAAAACTTGGGTCAGAGCATAAAATGACAAAGCTTCAGGTTGAAAGGAGGACACAAAGAGAAATTATACAAATAGTGCAGTAAACAGAGTTATTACTGAAGAATACATCTGCCAACCTCTTTTATTGTTTGTGTACCTACCAGGACCCCGTTAAAATGTTGTTCATTAGGGTTTCTTCATCTTTGAAGCACATTTGACATGACTTGTTCAAATAAAGAAAAGTTGGTGGTGATGAGATTATATATTTTTAAATTACTTGAAGTCTTACCTTTTCGAAATTGCTTCTAAAATTGTTGCCTTTCAGTTTATGAGTGAGTTTAGTCTCCCCCTGCTCCATGCCCAGGACTCCAAATAATTTAGTGTTTCTTTGCAGCATCTGAACAAGGAGTCTGCAGAGTCAAGGTCGAAGCCTGGTGTGCAGACAAGGGTGAATAGAGGGGGTCAGAGGGACTATTCATCACAATACGTTTCTCGCGGTAAACCTATAACTGCTGCTACTGCCTTTGCAGGAGGATCATGTTAAATAGAATTATATGCTTTTTAGATCAAAAATCGAGTTTGGTATGTTTATTCCTGTTAATTTCACTTCCAAAACAACTTCTTTCACTTGTATGTCTGCTGGGATAAATACCAAAGAGCCTATTTCAGAGAGATTAATGCAACATTGTTTTTGTTTTTTTATTTTTTTTGGGTTATTTTTTATACCGTATGCGGATTGGATCTAAGTGGATTCAGAAATTGGGTTCTTTCCTTGTGTTACTTAGCCAGTTAGCCGTGGATAATCAACTAACCAAGATGCTGTAGGTTAAGCCATGATAATTGTTTTCTATTCCAATCAGCAATACCAGCTTTACCCAAAAAGAGAAAACAAAGTAGCAAATGAAATACTTCAGCAAAACCTTATCTGCTTCAAAATAGACAATTCCTGCTGTCTTATCTTTTTACCCATTATTTTCTTAACCATCTTGTGTTCTCATTATGCTTCTTCAGATGGTGGTCGGGGAAGGAACTTGGCTGGAGCAATGGAAAATGCAACCAGTCAAATTTCAGAGAAAGATCCCAGCCCAGCTCCCTTGCCCAAGTCACAGGATGCCAAAAGCAATGAAACAACTTCTGTTGCAAGGTGCGAGACTATTCTTATGACATTGGTATATGCTAATATTAAGTTGCACTTTTCTTTCATCAAATCTATGCTTCTTTGACATATTGTATAGCAGGTCTACCTCTATCTCACTTCTCAGTGTTTTCAAGAAGTCCTTATTTCTTTTTCCATGCAGATCTATAACTGATGTTGCTAATGGTCCTTCCCGTGTAACTTCTCTTAGTACTAGTGTTGTACCTGATGGCCATGCATCTGGAGGTAGAGGTGTCAATCAAATTAAAGAAACTGGAAACACTAGGCTGGGTAAGTCAGGGGGGCCTCCTGTTGATGCAAATAGAAACCCCACTACTGCTCTTGGACCCAGAGATGGGCACCAGATTCTGAATTCCAGTAACCGTGGAACATCTCTTTCTTCAGCACCTTCCTCAGGAGTTCATTTGTCTTCTTCAGATCTTTTTGTCGTGCCATCTCAAGATTCATGTCTTGCTAGTGCGCTAGGGACTATTAAACATGAAGTGGAAAGTCAGCGTATTCCTGTTGAGCAGATGGCAGACACTTCTGTTGAGGGCAAGTCATTTGCTGGTAGGCTTTATACAACTGGGATCTTATCCCTACTTTTTTAAGACATGTTTGAAATGTAATTTTTTCCTTTAATACTGTGGAAGAAGAGTTTATGAGATTTGTTCTTTTTGATATCTGAAAGTATCGGCTACAGAGGTTGGGAGCTCCATTGAACAGAAGATGCCAAGCAATTGCCAGGGAGCTGAAAAGAACAATCTTATAGAATCTCCACAAACAGCATCTTCTACTCTTGGTGGTTCTTCTATTACTAGGCCTTCATCTAATTCCAACAATCGGCCTCAAGAAATTGATCCACCAAAAGGTAACACGGTGATTTTCTACAATTTGAATACCATTACGTTGCTGTCTTTATTATTTTAACAAGTGTTCTAGTTGCGTTGCTGCATGGTGAAATGATGAATGGTTGCACTGAGACCTGAGAACTCATTTAAAATCACACATGATTGGATGAAGATCTTGGAACTTGACATATGATTGATATCCATCATAGGCATTTTTTCGACACCTAGTGGATATTTTGGATGAATATTATTTACTTATATTTTGCTATGATGATATTGTTATGCCTGCTATCCTTTACCAGAATGACCAGTCAGTTCTGAGCGCAGAGCAGTGTTTGCGATAGGGTTTCCCTAGGTTGCACCTTGAGGCAGGAGGGTCAAAAACTGCCCTGGGGTGATTTTTGCTCTCTATGGAGATATATACCCTATTTTGGAGGAACAGTTTCAAGTCGTTTGTCGCTTGTCTTTGCACCCAAGACATTAAGTGTATGCCCCCGTAGGAGTCTGATTTTGAAAAGGTTTTTGGACTGATGATTGATCCAAGTCACCCAATGCATGGTTATTTTGACCTACTTTAGTGTTGCCTTTAAAGAACTTCTTCCCTAGTTCGAGAACTCATTTAAAATCACACATGATTGGGTGAAGATCTTGGAACATGACATATGATTGATATCCATCATAGGCATTTTTTCGACACCTAGTGGATATTTTGGATGAATATTATTTACTTATATTTTGCTATGATGATATTGTTATGCCTGCTATCCTTTACCAGAATGACCAGTCAGTTCTGAGTGCAGAGCAGTGTTGCGATAGGGTTTCCCTAGGTTGCACCTTGAGGCAGGAGGGTCAAAAACTGCCTGGGGTGATTTGTGTTCTCTCTATGGAGATATACACCCTATTTTGGAGGAGCAATTTCAAGTCGTTTGTCGCTCGTCTTTGCACCCAAGACATTAGGTGTATGCCCCCGTAGGGGTCTGATTTTGAAAAGGTTTTTGGACAGGTGATTGATCCAAGTCACCCAATGCATGCTTATCTTGACTATTTTAGTGTTGCCTTTAAAGAACTTCTTCCCTAGTTCAACATCTCTCCATGACTAGAGGATGGCTGTAGAAGAAAGAGAAAAGATGGGTTCCCCATAGTATGTAGGATCTGCAGTCGTGCCATGTTTTTCAATTCTCCTTTAGAACTTGTCTTAGATATTGTTGTTTTTGGGTGGCAACATCACTTAAAAATGATCACCCTGATATTCAGCCTGAATTCTGTAATATGGTCATGACTGATAAGAACACTTTTCCATTCTGGGTAGGATTCAAACAGTCCACCATTAATCATTATCAAATATAGACACTCATAACTAACTGGTGGTATGTATTTTGCTTCAGTGGGTACTGGCAAGGAGTGGAGATCAAAGTCCACAAGTTCTAGTATTACTCATAGATCTGGCTCGGTTGCTCCATTTGATGTTCCTAGAGTTCCTATCGAAAGTCATACTACATTGCAGCCGACACCCAATGTCCTTGCCTCAAGGGATGTAACTTTAGAGCTGCAGAGAAAGTTAGACAAGTCACACATTTCAGATAATCAACAAGTCATTATACCTAGTCATCTACATGTTCCTGAAGTTGAAAAGCTGGGGTTTTGTTTTGGAAGTTTTGATGCTAGCTTTGGACTAGACACATCCTGCGGTGATGCTCCTGAGAGTGACGAGAATTCACATCTTTCTAAATATTCCGAGGCTGTTGAGGAAACTGACGAGGAGCAATCTTCAAGGTCTCTCTCTCCTAACTTCTGTTTCAGTCACTGTTTTGCCTGATTATTTTTATTTTTAATTTTTCACTGGTTTAAGAGTTATCCAATTTCATTCTGTGGTCAGCGGCACTGATTATTAGTTACTGTTGACATTTAATTTCCTTTTCCTTTTTTGGAAATTCAGCGTGCTTTTGATCAATGGACTTCCTTGGCCAATGTATGCGTGGTTATTTGCGAGACATTGCTGTTCTTTCTATTGAGAGTTCAAATATAGATGTAGTTCATATTCAAAATGACGGGTGATTGTGAGCGACAAATTAAATGTGGATAAGCCCATTAAGATCAAAAGCTTACCCTCTAGTCTTCTAAATATTCTGCAGTATTTGAATATATTAATTACGACATGGGAATATTAAGTTTACATGCTAATCGTCCAAACAAAAAACGAAGAGAGAAGAGCTAGTTTGGATACTGAATAGAATTTTTGTAAGGTTTAAGTGCTCTCTATAGCCTATAAAATGACTTCTACATGAAGGTCTAGAACAATGTTTCACTTCTCACCGTCCTGTATATGAGAGATTTCTTGTATTCATGTCGACGTGCATTTTGGTTAAAATTTTCATGCATGCTTTAGTTTTTAATTGCTGTATGTCACCATCTATTTTTCCTTCCTAAATATCACACTTTTATTGGTTACAGCCATCAGAGTGGACTGGTAGCTGCAGAGGATACAGAAAGAAAATATCCTTATATTTCTGAATCATCTTCTCAGGGACCCAAAAACTTTCCACCCAGTGATGGTGAAGTTTCATTCTCTGTTCTTCCAGAATATACTGAGTCCAAGCAGGAGGTTGCTCCTGGGATTCATCAACTTCCTCTGGCTGATACTTCTTCAAACTACGGCTTTGGTTTTACTCCACCAATATTGAGTAGCCACCTTGCACCCTTGGAAAGTTCTGAATCTCAAGCTCGTGATGTTCCTACATTTTCAGGCTTTGTTGTTTGTCTTAAATGTCATTTATTTATATTTCTATTATTTTTATATTTTGACGCTTATTTGTTTTCAATATTCTTCCAGCTTGTTCGTTAATTTAATATAATTGTGATGTATCTTCATACAAGTGTCTGATTATTGCTTCTTAAACATATTGTGTATACATGTGTGCACTGTGCACCTTTACTCTTTAATATCAGTTAGTAGCAAAGCATTTGATTGCAAATTTATTCTATTTACAGGCTCAGCAATCATTTGATCTGACAAGCTATTATGCACAATTCTATCGCCCTGATGTGGATGTTGATGGCCGCACTTTGCCCTTCAGTTCAACTGGAGCTGCAACCAAGTACAATGGAAATGCTGCAGGGGTCTCTTCACAGATTTCGCCATCTCCTCAAGAGGTTTGGGTTTTGAGTCCCTAGCGTCTTCATTCATATTCTTGCTTGTGAATTGCCAAAAAAGTTGTATTGTGATTGGCATAGAAAAAGGGATTAGTTCTTTTTTCTTTTTGTATTTGTTTGTGTTGACACCATAATCAGACTCTTAAAAGAGCACTGGATCTTTCAAATTGTGAAGTTTTTATGTTTAAAGATATTAATGTTGTTAAAATTCATCTCGGCACATCTATTTTTCCGTTAAGAACTACAATTGTAAATTTGCCAATGATTCGCATGGTCATCACTCATCTGTAGTTCTGTAAATTGATTGTGTTTTTGGGTACCCACACAACACTGAGCCTGTTCTTCCATTTGGCAATTTATATTTCATGTCATTATGTAGTTGGAAAATTTCCGAATTATTTCAAAAATTTGGAAAAGGCTTCTTATGACTAGTTCAAACCCTGAAGATCTTATTGCTAGAAAATTAAGGTCTAGTGTTGTACATTTTGTTATAATTTTCCAAACATGGTAAAGAATCACCTTGGAAGACTAAACACACAGGCCAATATCAATCTCTCTATATCAACCTTTTTATATATCAGAGTATGCATGTAAGATGAACCCAGGAGTGTAGCAAATATTAGAATAGCTCCATTTAATATGCAATGCACTTCAAAATTTGAATGTATACTAATTTATATTTATATATAGACTATCTATTCTGCATGATCCTTTAAAGTGGTAAATGTAGTATTATTGAGCCACGATAGGTGTTCAAAATGGTAAATAGTGAAGAATGTTCTTGTTCTTCCATGTATGGAAATAACCTTTACCATGACAAACATCGAAGCAGGTTATACCGTAAGGTGTAGGAATTCTCTTGGTATCTTGCGAATTGCATTATTGTAATATACTCCCGAAGCTTACAGCTTGAGGTCCTCCTTACATGAGGCCTTCATTAAGAGCCTCAAAGCATGCACTTGCTATTTATCAAGGCTAACACTTTGACTTGGTGAGTTGCATACTTCGAGGCACAATTATTGGGAAAACAGAAGTGTGCCTTCATTTGTCTTGCTGTATTTTGGAATTTTGTTAGTAGTAGTGTTTTGGGTTTGTCTTTTATAGCCTAAAAGGTTTGAAGGGTTTTGAGCTTGCCCCTACCTCCTGCAACTAAAGGGTAATACACCCATCTCTGAATTGAAGTTGCATGTTTTGAGCATTAGACGGCCAATGACAAGAGACCCACGACATATAATTCACACATTTTTCTTGTATATTTTTTGTCATGTTGTCTATGTGGTTTTGTTTTCTTTTCTGTTAAAGTCAAGGTAAGCAAATTTTTGAATAGTTAGTATTCTAGACTTTTAGTTCTAGTTATGTGATCATGACTTCGTTAATTTAGATTTTCCTACTTTAGTAATCCATATAAAGCTTTGAGTTGCAAATTAGACTTAATTTTGTTGTAAAGTTTAAATGTTTTGTGATTTACTATTGTTTTATTGGTTTATGTTGAGGCTTACTCCTTAGAACACATCGAGGCTTACACCCCATCTGGCAAGGCAAAATGCCTCAATACCCTGGTTAGCCTTTTTTAAATGCTGGTATCTTGTCCATTCATATCATTTTGTGGTTTCCCTGCTCTGCACATTACTTCACATCATGTGAGATAGATTGATTGGGTGTTGGTGGGTAAATTGAAGAGATCTACAAGACTTGGTCTATGCTTTAACACATTCTATTAGGATATCATTTCTCACAAATCTTCTATTTTTTTTTCTAAGACAGGATTAAATGGCGAAGGCACTTGAGAAGTTTGCAAAATTTGAGTTGACAACACCTCTATATGAATTTAGAGGTCATTTAATGTTTGACATAAATGGGTATTATCGAGGTCCGAGGACCCTGTGTGAGGTCGTGTACAGTTTTGGATATGTGGATAATCCTTATAATTGTTAACTAGATGTTTCATTGCATAGTTTTTAGCAAGGGAGATAATTATGGTATTGGAAAAAACCTCTTTTGGTAGTTCTTGGGGTATTGAACGAGCAGCTGTTCTGCCAGAGATTCCAATAACTGGACTTCAAAGTATTAGGTTGTCAATATGCATATACTCTTCTGCAGGCATGCTATTTTGCTTCTGACGTTATTCTGGCACAGCACATAAATGTTCAAACCTTCCAAATTGCCCTTGTGTGTGTTTTGTCTAGTTGAGTCATAATTCATTCAAGAATCTCACATCATTGAGTGTCCGGATCTTTGATCTGGAAGGTAACCCAGATGTTTCTCTGGATAAGATCTTCTCTCAACCTGTCAACTAGAATATTCCATATTAGTTTTGATCGTACTCTCTCACTTCTGACACGTTTCTATTGGGATCACATCTCTGTTGTGAACACGATCTACTTTAGGACTAACCAAGACATATACCAATAATGTAGAACGAAATATTTATGGCCAAGTTACCACTAGTGTGATGTATGATCCATGAGGCACAAATATGGACGTGCTACGTGGCTTGTTAGACATATGTCCCAAGGCTCGGACGTGTCCACACTCATCAAGAAATATAAATATTTAAAATAAGATACTCTAGGAGGTATGTCACACACGTGTCTTGGTATGTCCTAGATCTGTTGGTCTCTAATATGTGTCACCTACACTCAATTGTGGCAGAGAGTGTCCATGCTGAATGTAGATTATATTTTCTACAACCATCTGTTTTGAAACAACTCACATAAATTACAGTTATTCTTCCTATTTTTAAATGTTGATTGATAGTATCGTTGCAGTCAAATTTTTGATTGCAAAATATATCCTTTTACTTGTTTACTGATGGTCCTATATTTCAATTACAGAGTAGTGTCCCTCTGGTTTTATCCACAGCAGCTCCAACATCAATTGCGACTCAAGCTTCTGGGATTATGCAAAATTCAATAACTGCTTCTCAGCAACCTCTTCCAGTCTTCCAACAACCAACTGGGGTGCACCTGCCACATTACCCTCCAAACTACTTTCCATACGGCCCCTATTTGTCTCCATTTTATGTTCCACAACCAGCAATTCATCAATTCTTGAGCAACAGTGCATTTCCTCAGCAACCTCAGACTGGAACTGTTTATCCAACTCCACCAGGGGCAGCTACTAAATATTCAATTTCTCAATATATACAAGGACCTAACGCAGGAAATGCAACTCACATTGGAATGCCAGGTAACTATGGAACATATGGCCTTCCGATGCCCAACTATGCATCCAGTTCAGCTACAACAGTTGATAATTTAATGTCTAGTGAAGATATTTCTCCTCAATCTAAGGAAAATATCAATGTCAGCAGCCAACAGGTTCGCTCTTCATGGACTTTTCATGATCTTTCGTTACAATAACAATGTTCACTGATATTGGAAAGTAATTTTATGGAGTCTCTTGCTCTGAGTGTGGGGCATGATCTATACTGAAAAATAGTTTCTTGGAATTCGAGATAAACATTTTAGGGTACTTTAAGTTCACTTTAGTACCTTCGAAGGGAAGAGTGAAATTTAACTAGTGCCAGATTTATCTCAAGAATGTCTATGATGAAACTCTTAACATGATATGACGTAATTGTTTTGCCAAAGAAAATGATGCTGTCAGTCTGCCTACTCTGGTAAAGGACATGATGCCCATAAGATGAATGTTGTGGATATAAGGATATGCTATGATGTGTTTCATACTAAAATGGATAAGATAAGAAATGCAAATAGATGGCAACAAGTGGAGAAGGCACCGATTGAGGATAAATTAAGGAAATGATGACTTAGGTGATTGGGTCATGTTTTGCGTGGACTTGACATCCTCCTATTTATAAGAGAAAAAAGAGTGATGCTATTCCTGTAGAGCTAATTAGAGAGAGGGATAGACCAAAATTAACATAGCATATTGTAATTGCTAAGAATCTGGTTCCTTCAAATCCTTGAAGAAATCTAATGATGAACAAAGTGGAATGGCACATAAGCATTTATGTAGCCGACTCAAAATTTACTAGGAATAGGACTTTGTTTGTTGTCTTTGATTACTAATGCCACATTGGATTCTTGGTCTGAGCTTATAAACCTTCATCAAAGTTTTGCACCCCACCATGTGTGATTGTTCTCCCATTTATGCAGCGTAGGTGTCGAAATAAGGATCAACACCTTAATCTAATTTCATTGATTCCGCAGAATACCGGAGACGATAGAAATTTGGAAGAATTTCCAAGTTTTATATAGTTAAAAAAAAAAAGCGATCGAAAATAAACAACACAAAAGTGTTTATATAGTAATCCTCAGAAATGAAAACCGTATAACCTAATTAATGGAAATTATCATAATTTAAGACAAAAAGAAATAAATAAAATGTATAATTAAGGAAAATAAAAGATTAGGGAGTCTTTATCATTCTCCTCTGGGTGGAGAAGATTCACCCTTGATCTTGCATCACTTTTTCTTTGGAGGTCTTGTAATAGTGACAATCAATCATCCAATATTGCTTTAGCTAAATTATATCATCAGTCGAATGCACAACACTACTGAATTCACTTTTTGATAAAGCACAAAAGATTGCCAGACCTGAAATTATTAATGTCTTGATTAGGCAAAATCTACTTATATTTTGAATAATTATTAATTTCACCAACCGATGCACCAATCAGATCACCCTTGTGTGGAGTTTCCTTACCACATCAATAAATTCAAATTCATGGTCCCCAATAAAAGCTTAAATCATGATGAACAACCCAAAATCTTGAGAATTCAAACAAACATGTAGTAAAACAATGTGAGAATCCACCCTAGCTACTACCAAAGAGTCTTCTGCAAATGCCAAATTCACAAATGGGATCCCCATTAGAAACTTTCCTTTTCAAGGAGAGATCATCCTGCCTTTACGCCATCTTTTCCAAATGAGTTCTTTCCTAATTTGTCTTTACCTATAATATGCTCTTCAATCTAATCCTTTGTTTGATTTTGATTTTGATTTTTTGAGAAGTGGTTTTGTGAAAAATGATTTTTTTATAGAATGATGGATAGGAAAAAGTTATGGATCTATGTGCAAATTCATTTATTGAGCAAATGTATGGTTGTAAATGAGTTTTAAAAAAAATGATTTTGAATAATCAAAATCAAACAAGAATTCGTTCTTCCTTAATTCTACATCACCGAGGTCCAAATTGTACAAGCATTGGAATAGTTATCCGATTGATCACACCCATCTTTCATATCCAAACTATCATCATTATTAAATAAACTAAAAATTACCTCGATTACTTGTAAAATTCTTCAGGAATCTTAGCATTGGACTCATTATAAAAAATTGGCGGACCGTAATAACTTTAACCTAAATTGGCTTCCACATCAGGACTAACAAAGCAAAAAGATTAGTGTTGAATTTCATCTCAACAACATAGCTAAAATCATCTCCCACAATAGCCTTTGTTTGATCGCGTTGACCTCGCATGGCATATGTTCCTCTAGCCATTACATCCTTCATCGGAACCTTTTGTCCCGGTGCGTGAGGTTGTGCGCCTAGGCGACCCAATGCGTCCAACATGAATTCTTGCTAGGCCATCATCGTATTGATTTGTTGCTTCAACACATCCATTTGTTGTCACAATTGTGTCACCTCTTCCACAAGAGTCTCATAATCTCATAAACAGCTGATCATGGTGTCGTTAAGAGCGTTTGTTGGCTCTGATACCAATTGATGCAGCTCAAGCATCAAAATAAAGAGCAATACCTTAATCTAATTCCCTTGATTACCTCAATACCGAATAAGATAGAAAATTGGAAAGAACTTCCAAGTTTTATATAATTAATAAAGAAAGTGCCTGAAAATAACAACACGAAGTGTTTAGATAGTAATCTTACGAAATGAAAATCTTAAAAACTAATTAAGGGAGAAAATAATCTTAATTAAAGAGAGAGAAATAAATAAAAAGTACAATTGAGGAAAATAAAAAATTGGGGATATTTTACTAGTATCATCCTCTAGTTGGAGAAGATTCACCCTCAAATCTTGCACCACTTTTTCATCTGAGGTCTTGTAACAACGGTAATCGATCATCCAATATTGCTTTAGCTAAATTACCATCATCAGTTGAATCCATAACTCCACTAAATTTACGTTTTTTGATAAAGCGCAATAGGTATTCACAACGATACCCAATTATTATTGTCTTGATTAGGTGAAATCTACTCAATGCTGAAAAATATTAATTTAACCTACTGATACATCAATCAGATAACTTTTTGTGGAGTTCTTCTCACTAGATCAATAAATTAAAACTTGTGGTCCCTGTAAAAGCATCAATCATGACGAACTACCCAAAATCTTGAGAACTCAAACAAGCATGCAGTAAAGCAATGAGTGAACCCACCCCAGCTACCACCAAAGAGTCAACTGTAAATGTCAAGTTCACGAGTGGAGTCCCCGTTAAAAACTTACGGTGCAAGGAGAAGATCAAGAACAAAGCAAAAACCTGTCTTGACACCCTCTTTTCTAAATGAGCTCTTTCCTAATACATTTTTACCTTTAAATGCTAAAGAATCTTAGTATTCTTCTTTAATTCTTCATCATCATCTATGTCCAAAATACATGCAATGCAACATTTATCACATTGAGGACACCCCTCTTTCATATCCAAACTATTGTCATTATTAAATAAACCATAATTTACTTCAAGTACTTGTACAATTCCTCTAGAATCTTGGCACTGGACTCATCATAAAAAATTAGCGTACCATTTTAACTTTGCCTAAATTGGATCCCAAATCAGGATCGATTGGAGCAAAAAAATCTGTGTTGAATTCCATCTCAACATCATATCTATAACCGTCTCCCACAATAGCCTCTGTAAGATCGTGTTGACCTCACCTGGCATCTAATATCGTGCCACCACACCCCTGTAGGAATTCTGTACAATCCATCATCGGAACCCTTTAACTAGCCGCTTGGGGTTGTGAATGTAGGCCACCCTATACGTCCAACATGAATTCTTGTTGGATGATTAGAGTAGCAATTTGTTGCTTCAACACATCCATGTGTTGTCACAACAGTGTCATCTCTTCCCGTCGCTGAATATCTTCCTCGAGTTTCATCAGCAACTGATCGTGGTCTTAAAGGCATCTTCAAAGGAGCGATGTTGACTCTCATACCAACTGATGCAGTGCAAGCATCAAAATAAAGAACTACACCTTAACCTAATTGTGTTGATTCTGCATAATACTGGAAAAAAAAAGAGAATTGGAAGAACTTCCAAGTTTTATATAATTAATCAAGAAATAACAACTGAAAATAACAACACAAAAAGTGTTTAGATAGTAATCCTAAGAAATGAAACCCTAAAACCTAATTGAGGACACAAATGACCATTAAAAAGAATTAGAAACAACTAAAAAGTGCAAGAAAGGAAAACAAAAGTTTGGGGATATTTTGTCTTTATCACCTCCCTACTGGCCTGTCTATCTATGGGAAGAGTGCACTAATGTTGGTGGTGAATTTGCTACTTTGCAGAATGACTGTTCAGTTGTATGGTTTACCACGCCTAGCTTGTGCATGTGTTTTCTTTTTCCTCTTGACCTATGGAAAGATTGCACTAATGTTGGTGGAGAATTTACTAATTTGCAGGGTGAAGGTTCAAGTTTGTGGTTTACTACACCTAGTCAAGATATTTCGACCTTGCAGGCTGGTTCCTTTTACAATCTTCCTCAAGGTCAACTAGCTTTCTCCCCAACACAGCCAGGCCAAGGAGCATTCACTGGTATCTTCCACTCAGTACAGCCAGTGACATCAGCAACCGTTCACCCTCTTCTGCAACAACCCCAATCCATTACAACCCCTATGGATATGATGAGACCAACTGCCAGTGTTCATCAGCAGGCACAACTAAACCAAGTGTAAATCCCAATCTTGGACAGTTTTATCAGATTTCCACAAGTTTTGGTTTAATAGACAAGATCAAGAAGGCAAATGCCTGAACAGAGTGTATATTTATGGAAAAATGCCATTAAAATTGGTCATTGGTGCTCGTTCTGGTCTACATATAATCAGTAACAGTCTTTTCAAGTTAATTATATTCTGGATTTTGTCTATAGTTTCGGGTTTGTATTTAGGATAGTGAGTTTAGAAGCTCGTGTTTTCTTTGCATCAGTTTGGCACACTGATGCGAGGTTTGTAGGAGTTTTCCCACTATTAGTGTTTTATTTTCCGAGTTTTTTTGAGTCACTCTCTGCTGTCTTACATGTAAAGTGAATATTGATTCTTCGTAGGAAGATGTACTTGGAACTGTTGTAACTGATTTTGTATGCAATTGGCTGATTCAATTGTGGTGAAATTGGCATCATCTTCAAGTAATTTATCTGATTTGTGTATTAAAGGGCCACCGTAATGCAGAATGCTTCTTGTTTTGTCAGTCAGTCTCAAGTCAAAGTTACGGAATAATAATTTTGGAGAATCTCATGCATTTATCTTTTATAGTTTGATATTTTGCAAGCATTCCAAGTTAGCTCTTGCATAAAGTTTGGTAAGTAGAACATATTTGAAAATTCTGCCGAGTTAAATTTAAGACTTGACTTCATAAATGGTCACTGAAGTTGAAGCAAAAATATTAGTTGTTTTGTAAATTAAAGTAACTAGACGAATATAGTAAGAAAGGCACGACAATTGGTTAATATGAAAAAAAAATCTGACATGTTACTATTAGGAGGTTACAAACAAATTTAGGTCATGGGTTATTACATACAATATTTGTAACCCATGTAGTTATGGGCATCCACTCGAGACAAGTTTCTTGCCTTTGATGGAGAAGTGATCAAATCTATTTCTCTGTGTTCCTACCTCTGGCTGGATAAACTTATTTAGCAGCATTTTGATGTGCGGGGATTTTACACTGTTAAGAGTGGCTATAAACTCCTTTTAGCTGAACTTTCGGCTTCATCTAGTGTTGGAGTGATAGAAGTGACACTGGTAAAAGTTTCCTTGGAATACTGCAGTCTCTCTGACGGTATGCATCTTTTTATGGCGTGTGATTCTTGATTCTTTGCACATTCCTCATACCCTGCTCAGGCGTTGGGTGGGATGGACTGATCATTGCCATTGCTGTGGTGGGCCGGAGACAGCTTGTCATGTGCTGTTGTTAATGTCATCAAAGATTCGGCTCGTTCATGCAAATATTAAAGAGGTGCTGCTTTATTTGATGCTGCTGATTAAAGGGCATGTTGGTTGTTGGCTGTGTGTTTTATGGGGGGAGCGGAATTGAGTAGGAGATGGAGGGGCGATTGTCGTCTGAAGATGAGGAAGCTGTAGTAATGCGCGAGGGATTGAGTTTTGCTAAGGATTCGTTGCATGTGATGCAGGGCCTTAATTCTGAATTTTGAGTTTGATCCAAATGCACCTTTATTTTTTGACATTTCTGTTTTGCAAAGGGACGTTGAGTAGTAGTTTTTGTTACTTCATCTAGAGAACTGGCAATAGAGTCGCTCACGAGCTTGCTGCAATGGCCATGACAGATAGTTTGGATGGATGTAGTCCCAATTCCTCTTACGGCCACCTTGTGTGGAGACATTGATTAATGAAAAAAAAATCATGATTTTCACTTGAAATAAGAAGGAATAAATTAATGGAGTACTATCCAATTTATTGAATCAATAGAAAGAAAAAGTAACAACGTCGTCATTCTCATACATATTAGGACATTTTAGTCAACAAAAATGTCTACCGTTTTTCATTTGCCAAACTCATAGTAGAGAGAGAGAGAGAGAGAGAGAGAGAGAGAACGGAATTGAAAAAGAAGTCATATAGATAGATTTGAGAGGGAAAGCGATAGAATTGAAAAAGAAATTGTTAAGATAAGATTTGAGTTTCAATACTCGACTTTATCTTAACCTTAAGATGAGCCAACTAGAATTTACAGTAATTTGGTAAGATGTCGTCAATTACTCAATTATATTGGCTCGTCCGTGCATCAAACACGTCCACCCTGTAGGGGTGTGTCTTTTATAATAAAAGTAAATAAAAGAATTTGTGGAGTAGAATTGAGAAATTTCCGCAACCTCAAAAAAATCAAACCTAGAAATAGTCAAAACAACACATTTCCGTCACATTTTTTCATTCCATCAAGAGGAGAGAAATCCCAGATATCATAACAACCGAACAGCCTTGGCATCGTCATATATTCATTCCTGGTAATTCTTGAGTTTATTGTTTCAATAATTTGCGTTGGTAATAGAAAATACATTTGCGCTATGACATATCAATTATTTCTTGTTGGGTTGTGTGTAGTTTCTCTTTCATGAGTTTTGATTAGTAAGAATTCGATGTTTGTTACGATTTATACACTTCTAAAATGATCCTAATCTTTAATATAATTCCTTACGAATAATGATTTTAAGCATTTAGAAAAAAGAATGCTCATATTATCAACATATTTTCGATGTGATAATGTCAATCTCTATATCCCGATTATAAATTAAGGTTCAATACGATTAGAATGGTAAAATAGGTCGTGTCAGAGCTTGATTCGACGTGACGTGCTCATAAGCTCAATTTATATCGTGTTACTAACATGGACCAATAATTTTATATTGAACTTTTAGAGGGAAAAAAACACTTTACTCCCCAACGATCTTAACTACAATATTTTGTTAGGCCGATAGTCTTATATGGCCCACGTGGATTTTGGGCCACGAATGCCTAGCCCTACAAGGTTAAGAATTCCCTTGGGCTATCCCATGATAAGGACTTACAACTTGGACATGGTTATGTTGGGCATTCATAGATTGGGATATGTTTGCTCACAAATGCGGTACCAACTTTACACTTCTAGCTCTCGCTCTAATCAATGCTTCATATATTGTGGAATAAACTAAACATATGTCATAGAAAGTGGTATGTTTGGCCACAGGGGCCATATCAACTATATTCCTCTAACTTTCTCTCGAATCAATGCTTCATATGTGGTGGAATAAAATGTACATGAAGCATGTGTAAAAGACCTGTTTCTGCACAAGTTTATTCATCATACAGGTTTCATTAGTAGCTGCACGCTCTGTAAGGTAAATAAAACAGTACTTGAGGATTAAAATAAAAGAAGCTAACCAGCTTTCGTTTTAATCCAGTACAAGAATGGCAGAACGTTCAAGAAAAGGTGAAGAAAAGAGCGAGAAATCGAAGATAGTTGTGCCTGAATTATGCCTAGATGCTTGGAAAAATGATATTCACTCAACACCATCTTCACCAGTTACCCTGAGGAAGACATCAAGTGTGAGGCATAACTGCTTGTGCTCCCCAACTACACACACCGGCTCTTTCCGGTGCCGGTACCACCGGAACCACGGCCTGACTCGCGGTAGCATATCTGTTGGTTCTAAGCTTTCAGAGTTAGCTGGCAAATCAACTGAAATCTGTGATGCATTCAACAATCATCTCATTTCTGGGCACAAACAAGGCTCGTGATCAATCATAAATGCATCAAGACTTGTTTGTTTAATAGCTTGTGCAGTTTTCCCTTCTCTTCTTTAGAAAAAAAATAATTCTGCACATGACAGATCATGGTTATCGAAGTTTCTGATTGATTAGTTTCCATGTACAAGTTTCTGATTAATCTTAAATGCATCAAGACTCGTCAATATTAGATTTGTCTCTGAATGATGTAGATCATCAAGAAATGAAAGCATTTCAAAGTCCTCAAAATGAGAATGCTTAGATGGATGTATAGTAATAATAAATGAGAATCTATGTCAAAAGTGGAGGTGACACAAATCGAGGATAAATTAAAAGAATGACAACTCAAATAGTTGGAGCTTGAGGCTCTCGTTCGTGATATTGATACAACTGAGTAGAACAACTTGGAAGATGGAAGAAAATATCAAATTAACATGGCTCGTTGTAGTCGCTACTGTAAGTGTTATGCCTTAGGTCCAATCAACTTTGGACATAAACACTTTGAATATACATATAATCAATGCATATGTATAGCAATATCTATTATTTAATTGAATTAATATTCTAATAAATTAAATAATAGAATCCGTAGATTCAA